TCATAATTTCTGTAACATAAACAAACAGTCTCAGACACTAAAAATTATTTTCCCACCATGTTAGACTATAGTGGGAACATATGTAAATGCTGGATTACATTTGAGTTCATTAATTTGAACAAAAAAATTATATATAACAGTGAATCTTTTAGCCTCTATTGAGTGTAATGCTAAACGATAGCTAGAACAATTATCTCATGAATCCTCTCATTATTCCTCCAATCTTTTTGTTACATTATACATGATCGAATTCTAAACACAAAACCTGATCTGCTCATCAGGATGTGAACCAATATTGATAAGGACCCATGTCTAGTAGAGAGGGTTCTTGCTTAGAACCATCCGGCAGTTCACCAGTGATTGGTGTTAGCTTGCTTGACTGATGATTAGGCACTGCATGTCAAAACCGGTTCAGAATTTGCTGGTACTAAACCAATGCTGCTGAATAATAATCATAATAATTACCAGAAGGCCTTGATGCTGATGGAATGTGTAAAACACACTTTATTATGTTGCACGATACATATGAGAATGAGGTATATTGCCTGCTTATTTATTTTATCACAATATTGATCAGGTCACTTACCGATCCAACCTTGGTCATTCTGATTTACGAGAGCAATGGTGTGATCAAAATCTGAATCCAACCAACCCAACAGTATACCCATTGTTCCTACCCAGTGCCCTGCCTGGGATTTAGAAGGTATTGGTTGAGAATCATAGACCGTCACTTTAAGCATTTGACTGTGGGTGGCCAATCAGATGGAGCCAACAGCATCGGCCGGTTCGCCTCACCTTATTGTCAGTTGAAAATACATCTTGAGCTGTTCTCATATATCCACTGGTCTGATAATTTCTTGCCTCGCACCTCCGATGAGCACGACTGGCTACGTATGGTGTGAAAGATGTTCAATGTACATAAGTCACTATAATTGGTTGAAAATGTCAATGCGGTTTTCACCGTTGCCACGACATTGCCAACAGCTGTTGAGCTAAAAAGAAAGTGGTTCTCGCTGCAAAACATGCTTTCTAATATTTGCTTTGTTATATTAAACTGAACAGGCTTAGGTATGATCAGAAATCAACAATGGGGGTTTCTCAATGGAAGATTGATGTGAAAATGAGGACACGTTGATTCGTTGGGATCGAATGAGATATAGGACGTGGGGCAGCTTTGAGTCACTTTGGGGCTGAATGGAGAAACGTCAAAGGCATGGGCTAACTCACAAAATACTGAATGGGCAATGGCACAACATGATTCCTCGCGAGTTAGGTGAAGGTAGAGGTGCAGCCCTGCTATTACTGGCTGTTATAGAGTGTTCTAGAGAAGCCTTCTGGCCAGACATCTTCAAAGAGGTGGGATGACCCTCCCTTTGCCCTACCACATATGACCTACTGATCAACTAACCGTGGTGCACCCATGTGCACTGCTGGGTAGGCAGAGGTCGAGTGACGGATGCCATTCAGGACAACGGCACAGGAATAGTTGTGCAAAGAGAAAGAATAAACAAGCTGCGATTCGCGGGCGACATAGATCCGATGGAAGACAGCTGTGCAGTCCTGCAGGAATATGTCAAGAGAGGATGCAGGACTGAGGATTAATGTGGCAAAGACAAAGACGTCGGTGTTTGGAAGGGAGGACATTGAGAGAGAAGTAATACTATAAAGCAGCAAGATTGGGAATGTAAAGGAATTTGTATGCTTGGGAAGTAGACTGGTATGGGAAAACAACTGCACCAAAGACATAAGAGTGAGGAATCAAAGGCAAAATGAGTAATGGCAAGATTCAATAATATCTGGAGAAGCAAGCAAATCAGCTACAAGAACATGCGTGTTCAGTACAGCATTGTATACTTGCGAGACTTGGACACTGAAAAAGGCTGACAGAGATAAGATATTGCCATTCGGGATAGAGAGTGACCAATGTAGAAGAGTGACCAATGTAAGAAAAATGTTTCACAAAGATAGAAGATCTGATGCAGGTAATGATGAGAAGGAAACTGGCACTATTTGAAGACATATGTAGAATGAACAACAACATGAAAATAAAAATTGGAACCGGAAAGAGAGGAACGCTCAACAGAGAATGGTTTGCCGACAGTATCATGAGAGTTTGGTGCCAGAAAGATGTGGCACTACTTGAGCATATTGGCACAAGACAGAGGAAAGTGGAAACATGACGAAATGTTCAGTGGACACGTTCGGGCTATCTGCCTACGGATCGTGATGATGATGAGACAGAGGTGGGGGAAAGGAATTTAAGAATCTTGCCTCATTGCTTCCACTGCTATACCAGGAGATCCATGTGACTCTACGACTGCTGGTTTGCAAGTCCAGCGTGCTAACTGTTATACCATAGAAGCATTCCTTCTATTGAATTACTGCGAACAATATCAACAACATAAATAAGAAATTTGCAATACAGGCCATACATTGTGCCAGCTGTGATAATGGTCAGGGCAGTAGTAGGTGGTACGGTGGTACGGTGGTGTGTGTGGAACCTGCTGATTGGCCAATTATCTCCTGCGCTATTGAGTTATACTGCTGCTTCTGATCAGGTGCTTCAGTTCCGAGAGAGGTTTATGAGGCTAATCCATCATACATGCGTACCGACAAATTACTCACCCATCACTTCATACAGCTCAATGGCAATGCAGCCGTCAATCATGCTGTCGAGGTCAATAATGGAGAAGACAAAGGGCCAATCAATTTGGCGCTCACAAAAGTAGCGTGAGAATTACCACGGTCTTATTAATTAATCAGAGAAATAATACAAAATATACTAATTCATTGTTTTTAACGCCAGATGAGAGAGCACATGAAGATGAAACAACTCAGTTTGCATAAATATCTAGATTGTTGTAACGATTGCTTTACCAATAGCATTCCAATGTAAACTGATTACAAGGAATCTATTTACAAAGACAGTCTCGTTAAATTAAATTAATTAGCGCTTTTTAGAACTGGGTGAATGCCAATTAAGACCAATATCTCGTTTTACTAGGGAGATGATCAAGATGTCATCTTGGCCAAAACCATGGATGGCCACCAGCGAGGAAGACTTTGGGTAAATACTGACACGGTAGCAGGAGTCGTGCAGAATCAAATAGTACTAAATTAGTGCAAATTCATATCCAATCGGGTGTGGTAGAAATGTGGTTAATCTACTGCTCGATGAATCAGGGATTTTTTGTCTGTCTGTCGTACATAACTAAATATATAATATCAACAGCTCTTTGATTGGTGGAGACCTTCTGCCGGGTTCGGAGAGGGGAGGTCCTTAAGGGAGGAGGGTCAGGGGAGGGGCCTAAGGAAGGTGGAAGTCAGGAGAGGGGCCTGAGGGGGGGGGGGGGGGTCAGAGGAGGGGCCTAAGGGAGGGGGGTCAGGGGAGGGGCCCTAAGAATATGGGGGGTGGTCAGGGGAGGGGCCTAAGGGAAGGGGGTCAGGGGAGGGGCCTAAGAATATGGGGGGTGGTCAGGGGAGGGGCATAATGGAAGGGGCGTCATGGGAGGGGGT